TACAAATTTGTTGGAGTGTTTTGTTCTTGATGAAGATCTGCTAATATTCTTCTAATCCAAACTGCTTCACATCCTGTACTTGTGGCTGATATATATTCTACTTCGGCTGTTGATAATGCCACTGTATTTTGCTTCTTCGACGACCACGATATAATTTTACTTCCCAAGAAAAACACATGCCCAGATGTGCTTCTTCTATCATCAATTGCACCAGCCTAATCACTGTCTGTGAACCCAACTAAAATGCTTTCTTTCTCTTGTGTATATTTGAGGCCATATCCTTTGGTTCCTTGCACATATCTTAGTATTCTTTTAAGAGCAGCAAAATGATGATTACTTGGATCATTCATGAATCGAGATACAACACTAACTGCATGAACTATGTCTGGCCTTGTATTAGATAAATAAATAAGTGAGCCAACAATACTTCTATACATAGAAGCATCAGCTCTTGGTGCTCCATCATTACTTGAAAGCTTTAAATTAATTGCCATTGGAGTATCCATTGGCTTGCAGTTCAACATATTGAACCTTTTCAAGAGATTTTCTGCATACTTTTCTTGATACATAAAAACCCCTTTTTCCGATTGTTGGACTTGAATTCCTAGAAAATACTTCATAGAACCCAAATCAGTCATCTCATATTCTTTCATCATGTCCTTCTTGAATGCTTCTACCATCCTTGGTTTGGTACTTGTATAAATCAAGTCATCAACATAAAGACACACAATAAGAAAATCATGTGTACCTTCTTTCTTGAGATAGAGTGATGGCTCACTTGGACTTCTTACAAATCCACTTTGACTGAAATATTGATCAATTTTGCTATTCCAGGCTCTTAGAGCTTGCTTTAAGCTGTATAGTGCTTTCCGAAGTCGACAAACTTTGTCTTCATTTCCCTTTTCAATATATCCTTGTGTCTTCTCCACGTAAACTTCTTCTTCAAGTTCTCCATTCAAAAAAGCGGACTTGACATCCAATTGAAAAACTTGAGTTTTCAATTGTGCTGCCAATGCCAACACAGTTCGTATAGTTTCCATTCGTACAACCGGAGCAAACGTTTCATTGAAATCTACTCTCCAGGTTGTTAAGAGTAGCCTTTGGCAACCAACCGAGCCTTATGCTTTTGTATTGAGCCATCTTCATTGTATTTTGTCTTGTAGATCCATTTAAGTCCAATGATGTCCTTTGATTTAGGCCGATCAACAAGCTCCCACGTAGAATTTTTCTTGATAACTCTAATTTCTTCTTCCATTGCGTCGTGCCAAATTTTTTCTTTCACTGCTTCCTCAAATTTTTGAGGCTCCAAAGCACTCAAAGCAAGATCACA